GAATGCTAGTGAAATGAAATAAATTTAAGAATACCACCTCACCAGGCGCAGTGGCTCAAGCCTGTAATCTCAGCACTTTGGGAGGCCAAGGCAAAAAGATTGAGCTGAGGAGTTCGAGACCAACCTAGACAACTTGGTGAGACCTCATCTCTACAATAAATCAAAAAATAAGGTGGGTGTGGTAGCATACGCTTGTAGTTCCAGCTACTTGGAAGGCTGGGGAGGAAGAATTGCCTGAGCCCAGCAGGTCGAGGCTCCAGTGGTCTTGAGTGTGCCACTGCACTCCAGCCTGGGCAACAGAGTGAGATTCCAACTCAAAAAAAAAAAAAATTACCACCTCATTAAATGGAGATTTTTCTAAGTGATTACTTTGGTAAAAACAAATGAAACCCCTCCAAAACAAAACTATCACATGTATTGCTTTCTGGATGCTTCTAAAAAGGAACACTGGAAAAGTGTTCGAAGGCCCCCATCAAATATTGGAATGATTATTTAGTAAGAAAAAAATTAATTTATATACAACATTTCAAAAAGAAGTTAAAACATTAAATAGAACTTTTATTTAAATGTTTATAAGGCAGATCTATGAGAATTATAGAAAACATCATATGCAATTTAATTGCGATATTTTGGTGATTACAGAGTTTTTGATAAATATCAATTATACAGTTATAAATAAAGACAAAATATTCCAAACAGTTACAAAATATCAAATGAAGATCAAGACGAGAAAATGAGTAAATTAATTAACAATGGAAAATCAATTTTAATGTGAACTGCATATTATCTAAAAGCTTTTAAAGATTAAGAAAAGCATTAAAAGCTTTTAAAGATAAGAATTATTGCAATCTGTTTTATCCAAACAGTGTTAAACGGTATCAAGACAAAGAACTAAAGATCAGAAAGAATTAGTTTTGCCTTCATGAACAAAGGAATCCACATTTACAGTGGCTTAAATGCAGGAAAAAATCGTGGAAGAAGTGAAGTAGTCAAGGTCTTTCTAGTCTCTACTCTGCTTTCCTTGGGATGTGGCCATGGTACTCTGTGGACAGCTGCAGGGCTCCAATGATAGCCACAATCCAAGCAGCAAGAGGAAGGGATGATCAAGAACACAGCTGTTCTCCTCTGAGGAGACTTCCCATCATTGGCCAGCACTTGTCATAGGAATACCTAATTGCTCAGGCCGCTGAGGAGTGTGATGGGCAGCAGCTTTTAAAGAAGTTGGGTAAACAGATACTGAAAGGCAACTTCCAGTCCCTGTTCAGGCTGGCTATCTATAAAGCTACAAAAGACCTTTAGAGAAACTCTCAAGAGAACACTTCCTTAAAGGAGACAATTTGGAGATCATTTAAAAGCATCTGCTTTTGCGATTTAATTTAGCTCATCAAGCCACTGGGAGAATCCATACAGTATGTCTTTTGGATGGAATGCACAGTGAAAATTCAATAATTTTGAAAGTTAAAAAAAAAAATCTCAGTATGTTAGGTTGAACAAAACATTTTTTAGTACATATAGACGGAATCCTGAAATCTAAGCACTTTATAATTTTCTCACACTAAAAATAACTGAAAAACCTATTCATTCCTGTAAAATTCACTATTTCAAGGTAGAAGAGATTGTGTATCCACTAAATTGTTAAAGTTTCATTTAGAGCTAATTACATATACTGAATGTATGCTAGAATTTGTTTTACTGAATGATGAACAATTGAGGTTGGAGCATCTTGTTTTCATAATGACACATCACAAATATAAATTTTAACACTGGACTTAGATGGGTTATACTATGTGCAGCACTGCTTTAAGTCATAAATTTAGAAAATAATTTCAACAAAACAGTTTCAGCTGTTTCCTTATTTCCAAACTGGGCTTTTATAGACTGATGCAGGTATAATTAGTTTAGTGTTTACAATATTCCTAAAGAAATACTTATGACTTATTTTTATGATAATTTATTTAAAATATCACATAAGAAACTTTAGATTTCATATATAAGTCTCTTTTTAGGGGGAAATTCTCTCCACAGGATTTATTATGAAATAGCTTAATGGCAAATGTCAATTAAAAAAGAATTAAAGTGTTATATTATATAAGAATAAATAATACAAAATTGATATATTCTTGAAGCCCTTTTACACAAATAATTTCCATAATTTGACTGTAATGAAATATAAATATACATTAAATTGATATTAGCAAATTAATTTTGAAAGTAAAATTTCTTAATCAAGCCAAGATTACACTGACTTATAAGAAATTAATCAGGTAGTTTAACACTAGAGCTCATTAGCCAACCTGTATGTAGCACAAAATAATTATCTCCAATAAATACTTATAAATATAATTTATTCACACTTTAAATATTTTAAAATTTAAATAAAAATTTCAAATGTAGACAATCTGGGCTAACTGTTTTGAAAAATAATGTTAGCATGTATATATTCATATTTAAATGTGATTTTAAATATTCATAATAGAGGAGACATATGAAATTTGTACACAAAACCTTAGTAGCATGATACAGCTCATGGTTATTTTCCTCACAGGAAAAAAATTACTTGATTTTTTTCTTTTTTTTGCATAGGATTAAGACTGGGTATCTTTCCTACATTCTTATAATTTTCTAAGGGTCACTTCTCAAAACAACAGATCAGGCAACAAATCTTGGTTCACTGTTCTAAAGTTCCCACCACCACTTTCTCACATCCAACAGTGGCAGAATTCAGAATTCTGAAGCCAGAAGACTCATTCAGAAAAATCATGATTTTGAAAAATAACAACTAAGAAAAATAATCACATAAGAAGTAAAATAAAGCAACTAGAAGTCAATCAATAGTTTTGCATTTTTAGAAAGGCTTTTAAACATTTAGAATTATAATGAATATATTATGTTTATTCTAAAACTTCAAAATTACTCAATTTTTGTAGGACTTTTTAAGCAAGAGATGCATCTTTTATACATTTTCATAAATGTTTGCTCATATTTTCAAATGTTTGCTCATATTTTCATATTTGCTCATATTCCATTTATCTGTAATAGTGATAATTTTATTTATATTATTGGCTACTTATTATATATGTGCAACAATATATACTTCAATAGTCATCTAACTTTTGGAAGTATTTTACTGTATTTTTACAGTAAATGGTTAAAGGGAGTGAAATTTAAGGAATAAGAAAATACTGAAAATATGCTATTAGCTGGGCTCGGTGGCTCAACCTGTAATCCTAGCACTTTGGGAGGCTGAGGTGAGTGGATTGCCTGAGCCCGTGGGTTCGAGACCCACCTGGGCAACTTGGCGAGACCTCATCTCTACAATAAATTAAAAAATTAGCCAGGCATGGTAGCGCGCGCCTGTAGTTCCAGCTACTTGGAAGGATGAGGTGGAAGGATCGCCGGAGCCCAGCAGGTCGAGGCTGCGGTGGCCGGGAGCAACCACTGCACTCCAGTCTGGGTGACAGAGTGAGACTCCAACTCAAAAAAAAAAAATGCTGTTATTTTCACTAATAAATTATAATAGTATGTTTAGGTATTAGGATAACCTTTGAAAGTTATCACTCAACTGAATTCCTACTAAGAACTAAAAGTGGTTATCAAGAGGGAAGAAACAAAATTAAAGAATATGGAGAGCTCAATTAGAAAGTACAAGATATTAAAATGGATCAAAAAGAGAACATCAGAGAATCATGAATAATTTACCAAACTGACAATGCGGTAGTAGGAAAAAAGCCATTGGTGGGAAAGGTAGCCTCCACTAAAGTCCTTTTATTTTTGGCAGCTGTAGTTAATAGTACCTCTGTGAACAGGCTTAGAAATGTTATAATTTCAGGAAAAGGAATGCATGTAATCATATCTTGTCTGCAACTTTCTATTTAAGAGTAAGTGGGGGGAAAATGTAGAGCATTCTAACTAAGGTTTGAACAAAATGCAATTTAAATGTGGAATGCCACTACTAAAAAATTTTATGAATAATCTGTATGTTTATAAATCTCTAGAGTAAATTTATAATTAATACTTATTCTAGTATCATTCGTGCTTATAAATGTTCCCTAATGAATGGTTATTCAGGCAGAGGACTTCTCAGGAAGATAAACAGAGATGAGCAGCTCTACAGAGATTTTTTAAAGATTCTGTAGGACCTCAGTAATTCATGAACACTGCTATGGTCTTCTCTCTGCTTCACTGAATGGAATGCCAAGACTCTCCAGGCTCATGTCCTAGGCCAGACTGGGGTAAGTACTATGAATTATCCCATAAGCAATAATAAATTTATAACTATAATATTTTTATATATCTTCTTGTACACAACTCACTCTAAAGAATGTCAATGCCTTTAAACAAAGGAGAAAGCATCGAGATTGACATTATGAACATAGAGCATGAGGATGGAGCCAGGGTTATACAGCCTCTGGAATATGACTACCTGCTCACCCTGCCACTTACTAAATGTGAGACTTTGGGAACATTTCTTTTCTATCCTCCAGTTTCTCAAATGTAAAATTAGGATAATAACTACCTATCTCACAGTAGGGTTTGTTCTAAGTATTAAACGGGATAATACAAGTAAAGTGCTTAGAACTATGCCTGGCATGTCACAATTCCTCAATGAACACCAGTAAAATCCCCTGCCAGAGAGAGTAGTGACTGGCTAAGGGGCAACAACATAGATCAGCTGACAAACAACTACTTGTATACTTGATACTTTTGCTCTAACAAGGAATAATTATACCATTCCCAGGATTGGTACTGTATTAGAGATAGCAGTTTTGGAGGCCAAATATTACTGAGTTCTCTCCCATATTAATATGAAAATGAAATTGTTCTGTAATATGATAAAGAATAAAAGCTTTCATGAGGTATGCATTATCAGTATGTATTTCATGTCTCCAATGTATTTTAAATATAATTTTAAGTTTAATTTGTCTTTTTAATATGTGTTTGTTCACATAATCACATTGCCTCATGCAATTAATTACCTTCTTCAAATCCTATCTTGTGACAAACAGAGGAAGGTTACCATGCACCCTTACCTAGATGCTAATGTAATGTATCCTTTCTTAAAAATAATGTATGATTATGCATTTCTATTTCTTAGGTTGTATTATAAAACCTTACTGAAGCTTCAGAAAAAAAAATATACCCACTGAGTTATTTTAAAAGCCTAAAATTCTGAGGTTGGCAAATTGCTTTAAACAGTATATCTATATTATTAACTATAAGTATTTTTTGCCTGATTATGAAACATAGTTAAAATAACAATAGTGTTTTGGCTGTGCAAAACAAAACAAAAAATATCTAAATTTTAACAATATGTTGACTACAAAAGTTTATATTGGCAAAACATGACATCTGTGAAACTTGAAAAAAATCCTGTCACTAATTCAGCTGAACTCTCATTTAACAAGTTTCAACCCACAGTAATTTGACAGCACACTTGCAACTGAACATAGAAGTCATAAAAATAATGGCATGAGTAGAACTTTATATGGCATCTGTGAGCACCATTTATTATCACATTACTGTGACCCTCTCTGGGGAGAGATGAGGAATTGTTCCTCCAATACCTTCTTCTAAAAATTGGCTCTTTTCCCAGCCTTTTTTAATTCGTTTTAACTTTCGGCTTATACATGGAAGCAGTAAAATTATCTTACCCAGAATTACAATTGAGGGCAAAACAAGAGCAAGAACAAAGTTTGGTGGTGTATAAAATCTGTAGTACTCTTCTTCAAAAGCTCGTTTCCATCCATAAATTAGAACATGGAAAGTACTTATGAGCAGAGCAACATATCCAAGTGTAGACTTGGGGCAAGGAGGAAGAAAAAAAACAAAGAGTGAGAAACAAATAATTCAAACCCATAAATTAACCCATCCAGATATACTTTGTTTATATTTTGATAAAACTATTTTGTTTAAATAATTGAACTATTCTTTGTCCTCTACTGAATTGAACAATTTTAATATTACACTTTATTTTATGCCAATAATGCCATACTGCATATAGTACAAGTATTCTGATTATTTTACATATTATATCAAGAACATTTTGGTCATATCATTAAATATGAAAATGACATTAATACTATATAATATTCTATTGAATGAATGTACATAATTTATGAAACCATTACTTTTTGTTGGTAATTTACTGTTTCCAACTTTTCTCAACTATAAATGTCATACTAGGCTAAACCTCTTTTTGGTTTATCTTCTTAGAACTGATTTTTTAACGAAAGTATTATTGGTCAAAGCATCCAGCTTTTCCTTAAGAGTGTTGACACAGACTGCTAAACTCTTCTTTTAAAAGTTATCCATATTCCCACCAGTTGTGTATTAAAAACTGTGTGAGTGTGTGTGTGTGAGTGTGTGTGTGTGTGTGTGTGTGTGTGTGTGTGTGTGTGTATACAGTCATGGTCTGCATAAGGATGTTTTGGTTAATGATGGACCATATATACATTGGTCATCCCGTAAGATTACAATACCATATTTTTACTGTACTTTTCTATGTTTGCATATGTTTAGATACACAAATATTTATCACTGTGTTTCAATTGCTTGCAGTATTCAGTACAGTAACATGCTATACATGCTTGCAGCCTAGGAGCAATTGGCAGTGGTTTGTGTACACTAACTGTGATGTTCGCATGATGAAATCACCTAACAATGCACTTCTCAGAATGTATCCCTGTTGTTAAGTGATGCACGACTGTAAATACATAAACACGTTTGATAAAACAAAATACTGAAGGACATCCTCATGGGCATACATACATACACACATATATATACATACCAGTTAATAGGTAAGTATAAAAAACCCTATAGTATTAATATGTAATAAAAATAGCAACTCAAACATATGGCTTTATTGACCACAGTAAATGAGACTATTAAGAGTACTTCAGTTGGGCAGTTTACAGGTTAAATCACTCAAAGATCAGCATTCTTTGGTTCCCTTAATTATTATGTTTAAAATTGCTTACTTTGAGACATGTTCTATGTTACATAAAAGTAATAATACATCAGTAAAGTGATGTAATGTCTAACTCCACTGGGAAAATATCAATTCTTTAGCAAGCAAAATACCTGCAATTACTCATCTAAATGTATGACAATTTGCACCTGTCTAGAACCTTCTAGCAGAGGGCTTTCTATTTATTTTCAAGTGTGAATTAACTAGCTGTTGGAAAAGTGTTCACATTCATTTTTTTTCCAAAAAGAAAAAAATGAATTTAGACAAGGGTTATGTCCTTAATTTGAATGAGATTTTTACGACTTAAAAAAAAAAACCCTCAAGTAAATAAGAAAAGAAATGAAACAAAACATGTGTATCACCAAAGGATCTGTATATTGTGCTGTAAACCATTTGGATACAACCAATATAGATTTTGTGAAAATACAGATGGGTCTAAGTTTGAATTATACATATTTAAAATATGCAAATGTATTAGTTACATATTATTGGAGGTGAATGTTGAACTCATTAAATAACACAATGGTGCTTTGAAATGCCTGTACAGAAACTCATATACATTAATATATGACTGATATACTACACACATGTACTAACAAGATTTATAAGACTGATTGCTTGTTATAATCCATTAACCTAGTTACCTAGTTTGCCACTGTGTATATTTGCATGTGTATACACACACATTCCTTTGTAATATTCACACTGACCTTCTCACTTGAATTCAAATTATCAAGATTTTTCTGGACAGATCAATACTGAAAACAAAATAATTTTTCATTCATTTGGCTAATAATAAATTGACTTTCAACATTAAATTTTATCTAAGGTCACTCTTCCCTCACTTTCATTTGTTTTCATACTTAACATCATAGGCAGTGCTACATGTACAATCATGTATTGCTCTTTCACTTACTTATCTTGATCCTAGACTGGCCTCTAGCAATGGGTAATTAGGTGCATAATATGGCCCCCAAAGGCACTCTTTATAAGAAACAATTCAACTCTACATAACAAGTATTCTATGCTGCCAAATTCCTCACCAAACAAAACCTCACATACCTGAATAAAACTGAATTCTCTCCAGTTTAAAGCATTGCTCACTGAAGGAATGGAAGTGACTGCCAGGAGGGAAAGTAAGCCAAGGCTCATTATGCCAAAGGAGATATACATTTCAATTCTCCAAACTTCTTCCTCATTCCAAGAGTTTTCAATATTTGCACGAACCTAACAAGAAAGCAAACATGAATTTCCTTTATTTGGTAGAACATTAACTGATTCAGCATAGATTTCACTCTTGACATAAGAACCAGGTAATATATGGATATATTTAAATTGTCTTAATTCAACTTAAATTTAACAAACCATTACAGAGAACCTATTACTGAGTGATATTGTTCCAGGTGTAAGGGAAAGGAAAGGGAGAGTGAATAAAAAAGATGACTAAGACTTTCTCCTTCCTTGCATATATGCAAGATGGGACAAATCTTTGCCATCTTGTTTGTAATATATCATCATTACAGGGACTCCAGTGTTCAAGACCACGAAATGCCAAGTAGTTGGTTCCATAGTGACAAAAAAGAAGTTACTGGCAATTAGACTTAGTTTTGAGATACTTTTACAAGCTGGTTTAAACTTGAATATTTGAGATATATTCTGGTATTAGTGCAACTCAGATGCAGGTAAGGAATTTCTAAACTACTTCTGTACCTTCCTCCCTCACATGAAGGATTTATCTGTGTCACTTTATCTCTTTCTTCTCACCTTCAGGGAAAGCTGTGATTTCCCTGACCATAAAGCCCTATGGAACTCAAAAACTCATCCATTTGAATTGCCTCTTCAATACGCTTTTCCAACTATCCGGTTGCCTCATTCATATATAGTATGTTTCCACATGTCTTTTCCTTACATTGATAATGTGTATAAAATCAAGTCAAGACAGTTGACTCTGAATTTGTGGTGTTTTGCATAGGTACTATTTTTAGTTCTATTTACACATAAACAATAATTTGTATAAATCAAAGGATGGACTCCTTCAGCTGAAGTTTTGACTTAAATAAGGCTCTATTCATGGAAAACAGATGCTAACTTAACACCAGTTTAACTTTGTCCATTTGCAGTTAACAAAACACACTTGAAATAAAAAAAAAAAAAAGCTGCTTCCTAGTCATTAGTTCCCTGAAGCAATCATAGCCACATCCTGATAGAGACCGTAAAACTCCTTTGTTGAAAAAGGCTCTTACCATCTTCTTGTTCAATATCTATAGAATACAGACTAACAGCATACCCAGGTATGCTCAGAAACTACCACATGGATGTATCTGCCCTCCCAGTTCATTTAGTCATCCCACAGATACACTGGATTGAGTGTCTACTATGTCTAGGCACAGTTCTAGGCATTGGACATATATCCTGAACAACATGGACAAAGATCCCTCCTCTCATGAACTTACATTCTGACATAATAAGGCAGACAACAAAGAAAACAAAGTGTGTTAGAAGATGGTAAGTGCTATTGAAAAAAAAAAAAGTAGAGCAAGTGAGTCGGAGGGACTAGGAATACTGGGGTTGAGTTGAGGGCAGGGAGCCCCATTTAAAGTGGTATCTGACATGGGGATATGAAGGTGACTACAAGGAGGTGAGGGAGTTGGCAGAGCAACTATGAAAGCCTTAGTGTCCAGTTAAGGGAAATGGTATTTTTAGAGATGAATGGCTTAACACAGCAATCCATTAACTTTTACAAAATTATTTTAGGTTTTATTGTGAAAACAAGCTTGAGTATTAGATGTTACATACTTGGATCACAATGCCTTGGATCCATATAAAACAAATGCTTTTTACACATGTATTTTGGTGCAATGTCCTTAGCTTTCAAGAGGTTAGCACCTCTTGAAAGGTTAGCACACTAAAGAGCTTCATTGAAACCCTTTATGTTATATTTGTGGAATGGGAATTATTGGGGAAAATTAGTCTACCTCATCCTCAAACCCCTTCCATGAAACTCTCCCTGACTTTTTTTGGAGAACCGGAGCTAAAAAAGCTTCACCCATGGAACTAGTATCTTTTCTGCTTTTGGATAACAAGTGCCTTGTAAGCAACACTGTCTCCTTTATCATCATATTAGAAATCTCAAAGCCAAAATAGAAGCTGTGTAGACACTCTTAGCCAGCAGAGGTGTTTTCTACTTTTTTCTCCTGATCTTGACTTCCTGTTCTGTTTTATGTTTTCACTAGCTCTAATTTTATTATATATATTTACTGAGAATTGCCTCATTTTGTGCAGCATGGCCAATTACAATACATTAAAATAATTACTTGTTCAATGCTGAAAGCAATAATTGCAATTATAACATGTAAAAAAAGAGGGAAACACTTTTCTGCTTTAATTCTGCAAAGAAAGGGATGGTAGCCACTTTTACCCCAAAATAATTTTGAATTTACCATATATTCTTATGCAAAAAGATTGCTTAAACATTGTTTATCAAAAGAAAGGTTCCATTACGAGTCATGTAAAATTTTGTTTTACAATTTATACTAATAAAGTGTTTTACTAGAGTCAGATAAATAACAAGCATATTCAGTACCTGTTGATAAGCCATGTTGAGAAACAAGTATCTCTCTGACCTCCTCATCGGCAAGCAGAGGCTGTAGGCAACATGGACCACAGCAAAGAAAAAACTTAGTAATCCGAGCTGTTTTCTACACTGTAGCCAGGTTTCCAACCAAGGTGGAAATCTTCTATACTTAGTGCCATAATAGAGCTGATAGGCAGCTGCCAGGAGACCTGCTAGGTATACCAGGGATAGTAAAGTAATGGCAACTATAGGTAAGGTTTTATTCACAATCTCAATAGGAATCTTGTAAAAGTCACTCTGCTGGTTTCTTGCATATGGATGTATCACATCTCTGACAAAGGAATAAAGGAAGAAAAACGTGGCCAAGCTTATGGCTACCACCACTGGCCCTCTCCAGAGAGTAAATAGTCGTAGGGGTAAATTTTCAATCTCTCTAGCTGAAGATAAAGATCCCAAGTCAACGGGAATGAAATTCAGCTGGCGAGCAAGTTCAATAACCTGCTGTCGAGCTTGAATATTGTTGCTGCATATATAAACCTGTGGAAAAAACAAAAAGATGAATCATTACTACTGTTTATAAAAATGGCAACAATCACATGCACCACTTAACCTATGGAGCATAACTTGTGACAACCTTGAGTGACACAGATGATTAAAGTCAAGGCGATAAAGCATATATTAACTATTATTAATAGATTGTAAGTAGTGTCATAAAAACACAAAGTCCTTGTCATCTACGATGACATGAAAATAAAATGCAGTAAAATCTAGCTGTAACCTGGGATCCTCAGAGGGAAGTCCTCAGGGAAAAGGAGACAGGTAGGAAGAAAGGTGTACTTTTCTAAGCCATGTGGCTCAGTAGCAGCAGCCAGGTAAGGGGTCTAGGCGGAGTCTGAGCTGCTGGCCATGCCCTTGACCACTTTGGTTCTCTGTCTCTCAGAGAAGACACTGTGGGATTGGTTGCAGTCATGGATAATATTTAGTTCTAGGACTGCAGCAATTCTGCCTAGTGTGATGGCAAACAGTGCCTTTTACAGATATTTAGCAGGATAAGCATGGGCTCTAGATGGCATTTGCAATTAAAACCTCTACTTCATGTCATGATACTACACTTTTGATAAAATTTATCTTTAGGATTGGAAACCAATACATCAAATAATAATCTCAGGTATATTATTTCATTTGTCAGTATATGAAATTCTTTAATCTTCAAACAATGAAGATATACCTAGCAAGGAAAAATTATGAATTTACCATATATAATTTATCATAAAACTAGGTTAATTTAAATAGAATAGCAACTGCCACTTTCTAAGAATAACATATTACTTTTATAGGAACTCTAATGATGTTATGTGTGGTGTAGGCTTTCAAACTACCAAAACCTCTTAGAGATTGTAATACAGTTGAAATCAACAATTATTTGTTGAACACCAAGTTAATTACTGGAGTGAGCTACTATCACTCACTTAGGGCTAGAAAAATTTTGCTATAATGTCTCCAAGTAATGTTTGGGGAAAATAAATTCCTAAACATATCCTCAAGGATGTTTGTATAAGGACTCTGAAACAGACCACACTGAAATATTCCATGTTAACCTATTTACAAAATAATAGAGCTCTTTGGATTATTAGTCTCAGTCATCATTAGCCAGATGAATGAGAAATTCTTTATTACTACACAAATATTGGTGAACTTTTAAAAGAAGTCATTATACCAAACTCCTGAGCCTAGGAGTTTGAGATAAGCTTAGATGACATAGCTAAACCTTGTCTCTACAAAAATCAAAAATTTAGCAGATGTAGAGGCTCATGTCAGCTACTCAGGAGGCTGAGGTGGAAAGATTGTCTGAGCCCAGGAGGTCGAGGCTACAGTGAGCTGTGATCATACCACTGCACTCCAGTCTTGGAAACACAGTGAGACCCCCCCCCAGCTCAAAAAAAAAAGAGAGTGAAGGGTTATCATGACTCTGATATGCAGCATATGACACAATACTTATTTCTAAAGAATCTAATAAATTGTTTCTATGGAAAAAAGTAATTATCATCATGCTTACTTATAATACATAAACACACTTTAAAAATATTTTATTTTTTTAGTTGAGGTCTTACTCTGTCACCTAGGCTGGAGTGCTATGGCACAATTACTGCTCACTACAGCATTGACCTCCTGGGCTTGGGTGACCCTTCCACCTCAGCCTTCTGAATACCTGGGACTACATGTGCCTGACACCACATCCGACCAATTTTAATTTTTTTGCAGAGACAGGATCTCACTATATTGCCCAGGCTGATCTCAAACTCCTGGGCTCAAGCAATCCTGTCTCAGCCTTCCAAAGTGCTGGGATTACAGGCGTGAACCACCGTGCCCAGCCTAAAGGATTTTTGAAGTGCACTATTGTATATGTTTACTTACAAAAGCTTTCATTCCACAATGGCATGAACAGAACTCCCCATCTGCTTTATTCTCAAATTAAACTAGATAAAACATTAATCCATAGACTTAAATGCCAATAGAGAATTCAAGAAATGCAGTCTGCCACTACCTTTTGCAGGCTGATTAAAATATACATTTAAAATAAAGTGTACTACTTTAAATTCTATGAATATTAAATCCATGTAAAATAAAAAGGTACTTCTAATGCATTCTTCTTGAGGATCATATTAAATATTATTTCACTCAGAGATGGGATACTGTGGTACTAAATTGCTGCAAGGAAGGAAGAGAAGAAGAAAGAACAAGGGTCAGAGGGAAGGAAGAGGAAAAAATACTTGTTTGTTATTGCCCCTGTTTTTGAGGAAGACAGGAGAGACCCAATGTAATGTGTCACATTATTCATCAGCCAAGCCAATCTCACCTTTTCTTTAATTAACTGGTTAGGACAGAATAGCCCAAGTTATGTTTCAAACTCTCCACATCATTTTGGGAATAGAAATGTGCCCTTACAAGATCAGGACATTAATCTTCAGGTGCTCACATTTCGTTTTCAAAATGATAGTCATTCGAGTATCAGAATTTGGTTTTTACAAAGAACTGAGTACCACATGCTCTCACTCATAAGTGAACCCTGAACATTTACCATAATACTACGTGAAAGGAATTGGCAGTAGTGGATCATTTCCAGGGAAGGTTTGGAGGGGTCCACATAACACTAATAAGATTACCTGATCCCAAACCAGGTGAAGTGAGGATCAATAGGAGGCCCAAACTTCACCTGCATGATGACTACTTATATACCTAACCCTGAATTGTACCCCACATCTTTAAAATAAAAAAATTAAAATTACAAAAAAAAAGAATTTGGTTTTTAAATGTCTGATATTTGATTAACTGTCTACAGAATACCAGATAAATAGGATAGAATTTAATACCTGCCGGCTGGCGTCCTTTGGTCCCAACTGGAGTGCCCAAGCGGAGACAACATTAAATCCTTTGACAATTAAGGAATCCGGGAATAATGAAGCCAAATATTCAGCATTGGATTCTGGGTACTGGTTTATCCTCATGTTATTGCTCACATCAATCAGAATTTTACCCACAAGCAGATGTCTTAGGTCCCACAGGGATGTGTAATGTTCTCTATGTATAGCAACAAATATAATATTTGTTTTTGTTAGAGCATCTTCATGATGGGTGACATCTACCACATGAGGAAAAAACTCAGAAGCAAACTTAGGATTTCTACTTCCTATGACCACATGGTAGCCACATCTAATAAGTCTAATGGTCAAGGATTTAGCAAAATCCCCACTTCCAATTACACCTACAGTGACCTTCCTTGCATCTTTGATACCATTTATGCCATTAGGCAAAAACGTTTCACTAAGGCTTTTAGGGCTTCCCATCATAGAGATCGATTCCATGATATGAACTCTTCAGAGATCACCAGGAATATCCTAGAGGAGAGAAAATAAAATGTTCATCAATTACATACTATGAAACATTAAAACACTTCTAGATGTTATAATAACATCCTACATTTCTGGAGATAAAATATTTTAGTGTGCTATGTAACTCAGGAAACAGCAAAACACAATTTGTTTTTATTTTAATTGTAATTTTTAAAAGAAGTTAGAGACAAAGTCTTGCTATATTGCCCATGCTGGTCTTGAACTCCTGTGGCTCAAGCAATCCTCCCACCTCAGCCTCCCAAAGTGCTGACATTATAGGCATGGGATACCGCGCCTGGCCCAAAATACAATTTGTAAGCTAAAAATGGATCTTTACTGTGGTTTCTGTTCAGATCGTATAAATCTCTCGCCTTTAAAAAAAAAAAGCATCTCTCAACAGGAAAATTAACTATCACAAGGGTGATGTGCTAAAGTAGGGATTCTCACATTTTAACATGCACACAGATCACCCGGGAATCTTGTTAAACTGTAGATTCTGTTTGAGTAGGTCTGGAGGGAGACCCAAGATTCTGCATTCTAACAAAGGTAATGCTGATGCTGTCTGCAGACTCCTCTGTGAATAGCAAGGCACCAGAATACATGAAGAAAGAGACTGGAGTTTTCACTCAGAACTTAAAAAAAAACCAAAAACACACACTTCTAGCAAGTATGATTATCCAGTTTCTCAGCAAATTAGAGGCAGCAAATCAGAAATGTTGCTGGGGGCAGACATGACTATAATACTAAGCGATGGCTCACAAAACAACAGAAGACAGATAAACCACTTAAAAAAAAAAGCCAGTTGAACCAAAACTGTCTAGAGTCACTCTGGGTAGAGGCTATAAACTGCTCTATACACCTCAGCGCCTAGCACCTGCTGACTTTATCATTAAATGAAAGAAATTAGCTAATAAAAAATAAACCTTGGCACTTAAATAATATTGTAAGGAAAGTAGGCATCAAAATATAATAAAGGATTAATTAAATTAGAAAGACTTCTATTATTCAGCCTCCATCTTATAACTTATTGAGAAAGATAATGGAAAAGGGGTTAGTAATCTGGTTTTAGTCTCAAATTACATAATACTTATGAAATCTTTTTCTTCCCCTTTTATTAATTGGCTGCATAGACTATGATGCAGTTATTCTTCCTAGAAAAATTTGTCAAGTTATTTTTTAATTAAGAGACTAACATCTGAAATGATCATATTTGTAATAACTTGCTCAAGAATACAAATCAGATTGCCCTGAATTAGTGTCACTGTCGGGTCTGAATGAAAAATACTCATCTATTTCCATTGCATAATTGCTTTTATGCTAACAGCAGATGTGGATCACTCCAGAGGATTTAATGGACTTTACAGGCACAGGTGGAACGTTTCAAAACATTTTTGAGGTTTTTTGGGTTATTAAGTGGAATTTGAAATTAGTAGAGCCAGGAAAACTCACATTTTTTAACCTACAAATGACACCAAATACATCAGTAAATTAAACTTTAGAAAGACAATGATGATAGTGATGTTACCTAATACTCACATAGGACATACTATGTTTCAGCTGTCTTGTGCTTTACATATATTAACGAACTGAATTCCCCCAAACCAAGTATTAATATTGTCATGTCCATTTTGCAAATGAGGAAACTGGAACATTCAGAGGATAATTAATTTGTCCAAGATCATAAGAGAGAAGGCGGAAAAGCCAGAATTAGAACCCAGGCAGTCCAGCTAAGGACTGTTTCATTTGGATGCATGTATGGAATTTAAGAGAGGCAATTTTGGGGGATAGATGGGGGTCAAGATGGAAGAATTATGGCTATGCTCATATTAGTACCTTATTCCTTTTTTTTGTTTTGTTTTTTTGGCCATGTCACTGCTCCTCAGCATTACCTAATGGTCTTAAGATCTAACTTAGATCCTGGAAGTGGAAAAAACATAATGTTTTAAAATCTACTATACATTTCATTTCACACCTTTCAAGATAGAAGGGGTTGTAATTATCTGCTTTCCCTTGGAGTGGTCACATGCACTCAGAAGGGCTTGCAGGGGCCAGAGACACCAGGGCAGTACAAAACTGTCAACATCCTCTTAGAGATGTTACTGGAAAAGCTGGGAATCAGGAGCAATTAAATAATGGAAGCAGAAGTAATAAGATCCATGCTCATTTCGTTTGAAAATTAAGGGTGATCACATGCATTATCTAAGGGTAAAAAAAGTTTATTAGATACATACACAGGGATCCAAGTTTCCTATATCCCACTCCAGGGTTCTTCTGAGTATATTCTGTGGTGTTCCCAAAATATAAGAATTGCAAAATCTTCAAATCTAATGATCATAATGGCCTAGACCTTTTCAAACTAAAAACTAAAGACAATATCAGTTATCTGCTTATTTCACAAAGCAAAATTAAACCTCTTCTGTAATTGAGAATGTGAACAGGTAAAAATACACTAGGATCTAATAATGTCACCTATGGGGCCCTCATTAGACCTTGCGTTTCTAGTTTAACATGTTTGGGCCTTAGTCACCTAGTATTTTTAATGACAAGTTTTAACTGACCCCTTTAATAATGTGGCTGTGGCTATGAATAGAAGTTGGCCTAATAAATAAGACCATTTTCATTACAGCTTTAAGGAATATAAAAACATTCATGAGCTAGAACAAAAAAAGCAAAAACTTTTATGGGCCTGAGAGATGAATTACTTGTTTATTGCTGAAAGCATATAATACCATATGCTTGTGTGCTATTTCATAGTTCATAGAATGTTTAATTCTTGTTTTATCTTGTTTAATTATCTTGTTTAATTTTCAACCAGCTGTGGAGTATATTATGCCCATCTTGAAGATGATGAAACAGAGGCTCAGAGAACTTTAGCGATTTGCCTACAGTGTAGTTTGTAATGACACACCAGGATTCAAACCTATGCTTCCAACCTATACCTATTCTTAAACTGCAGTGCAAACATTATTTGGGGATACTTAACTCAAAATGCCTTAACATCACCAGATATCATCCATAACTATGCTTTCTAAAAACAATACTAACTTTATTTTTATTTTTATTGATTGATTGCATAGGAGTCTTACTCTGTTGCCCAGGCTGGAGTGCAGTGGCACACTCATGGCCATGGTAGCCTCGATCGGCTGGGCTCAGGTGATCCTTCTGCCTCAGCCTTCCAAGTAGCTGGAACTACAGGTGTGCGCCACCACTCCTGGCTAATTTTTTGATTTATTGTAGAGACGAGGTCTTGCCAAGTTGCCCAGGCTGGTCTCGAACCCACGGGCTCAGATAAAATATAAAACTTTAGGATAGTTTTAGAGAAATCCAAAGCTATAACACTCAGGAATTCTAGCTATAAAATGATAAAATATGGTTGAAATAATCCCTATTTTGGGGTCAAATCCAAAGAAGATCTAAATGTACTAATACTATAAAACAAAATATGATTGGTTGCTGTGTAACTCTGAAAGAATCTCAGATAGCAGCTCATATGTCTTCTGGAAACTCTGTAGCCACCATTTGTGGGGAAGGAAAAAATGGCCAAGATGTGTGTCCATATCACGCTGGACTCACCCATGCCCAGATATAAGAGCAATCCTTATCCCACAAGCTGTAAGTAACTATCTAGTGCTGAGACACTGGAGCAAAATCTCTAATCTGCTAATTATAATCTGCTAATCTACTATTTTGGGTCATGCGGTTAACGGCTGAGCTGAAATTAACACCTGGGATAGCCATGAAAATAAAGGAGGTTTACATAGTTACAAAAAAAAAAAGGCCAGGCCTAGTGGCTCAGCCTGTAATCCCGTTACTTTGAGAGGCCGAGGCGGTGGATTGCCTGAGACCACAGGTTCAAGGCCAGCCCGGGCAACTTGGTGAGACCGCGTCTCTACAATAATAATAATAATAAATTAGCCAAGTGTGGTAGTGTGCGACTGTAGTTTTGGCTACTTGGAAGGCTGAGGCGGAAGGATCGCCTGAGCCCAGCAGGTCAAGGCTGCAGTGGCCATGAGTGTGCCACTGCACTCCAGCCTGGGTGATAGGGCAAGAACACAACTCAAAAAAAAAAAAAAATACTGAAAACCTTATATTGTACATATCCATTGACAAGGAATGATGCAACTACAATCTAAAGACAGATCTACCCTGCTGTGGCCCAATATGAATTTATTCAGGCCACTGCATGCTTTGTACGTAAGCGATAAAGGGCAATAGTAGACTATTCTAGTTAGGAAGAGACAGGATTTACTTGTAGTACAGAGTACGAAAAACCTTATGTCAAGCATATAATTAAAAAAACAAGCCTGGCTCGGTAGCTCAGCCTGTAATCCCAGCACTTTGGGAGGTCGAGGTGAATGGATTGCCGCCTGAGCCCGCAGGTTCAAGACCCATCTGGGCAACTTGGCAAGACCTCATCTCTACAACAAATCAAAAATTAGCCAGGTGTGGTAGCACACCTCTATAGTTCCAGCTACTTGGAAGGTTGAGGCGGAAGGATCGCTGGAGCCCAGCAGGTCGAGGCTGCGGTAGCAGGAGCATGCCATTACACTCCAGTATGGGTGACAGTGAGACTTCAACTCAAAAAAACAAAACGAAACAAAACAAATCAAACAACAAAAAAACAGATTGTTTGATCAGGGCATAATTAGTCTAGAAACTCAGAGAAGAGAGTATCACATGGTGTTTGTTCCCTTATATCAAGTCATTCTTTAATGACATTAAAAGAGGTATTAAAATTGTATCCACAAAATAATTTCTAGTTCACACAGAACTTCCACAAATCAATTTGATATCAGTAGCACTATAAATTCATTATAGCTTAAAACTAGAAGGCCCTAAAATTAAATTTGGCAAACCAGGTGTGGTGGGTCATGCCTGTAATCCCAGCACTTTGGGAGGCAAAGGTGAAAGGGTTGCCTCATTCCACAGGTTTGAAACCAGCCTGGGCAACATGGCGAGACCTCGTCTTTACAATAAATCAAAAAATTAGCCAGGCATGGTGGCAC